TTTTTTTTTTTTTTTTTTTTTTTTTTTTTTTTTAGATATTAGTGGCTAATGACAATGTAAAACGTGTTTTTGGTCTTCTTCATCCATCGTTGATAGGACGTCGTTTTACGGATATTTTTTCTACAAGTCCAAATCAACAACTACCGGCTATTCTATACAACACACTAGTGACACCAGATGGACATCTTAAAGAAGTCTATGGAAAGGCTGTAAGTTATTGTAGATTTTTGTGTTTCGAAGAAAAAAAGTTTATTTTTGTACATATTAATGAGTTTTAAATTGGTATATAAAGAGACAGATGGCGAACAATAACGGCAGTGATTAATACTTGATGAGTCATCGTTGAATATTTCATGATTAATGTGCTATTTGATGTATTTTTTGCTGTATTCTGTTGTATACAGAAGCAAGAAACTGTAACTGAGAATGTGTCATAATGCTTAGCTTTCCCCTAATTTATCTGTCTAAGAAAAGTACTTATGTAATAACAACAGTATCAATAACAGTATTAAATAATAATGATAATAGCAGCAGTAATAATAAAGAAGTGCTATGTGACTGTTGGGCCAATATTATCCTATAAAACTATTTGTAGTTGTCAAATTTGTCTTTGTATTTTATATGTGTCTGTGCTTTTATATCAGTTTGTCGTATACTCGTAAATGTAAAAGAATAGTTATTTTATTTAAGTAAAGCGGATAGAAATTTAAAATACCAGTTGATTGTCGCCAGTAGGTTCTGTTCTCTTAAGTACTTAATCATAGCAATTTGGTGAAAAAGGAGTTAACAATTTGTAAAAATTTGCTTCAAATAATTTACTTCAATTTTTACTTTTCTGAAGATTAAACAAAAAAAAAATAAAAAGTGTAGTAGTTTATTTTATTCTTTACATTTATTGACTGATCTGTAGCAGTTAAATTCAACCAACAGTTAGTGTTTGATAGACTTATTGAAAGCGCGCTTTGTAACGATTCATTGGGTAACCTCAATTTACTAATCTGTAAATTTTTGTTGTAACACTGCTTAGTTACTCATCAAAAATGACGTTTTCGTCAAGATAGTTTATTTGGAGATTAAGCCTTATAGTTTCGTTGTCAGTGACTCATTTACAATTCTTTGCCTTGCCTCTATCCTTCTTCATCTTCTTTTGCTTCTTTGTATAATTATTACCATTGTTATTACCGCTCTTTATTATTATTATTATTATTATTATTATTATTATTATTAATGTTGAAGTGTCTGTAACAAATAATAATTCTCTGTTTTATTTATCTATATTTTATTATAGATTGATGCAATTGATTCGCAAGGTAAGCAGTGTGCTATCAGTGCTTGGTCTTATCCACTAACACAGGCCGCTGCAGATGCTTCAAAAGGAGGTTTGGATGGCAAAAAAAATTCGGTATGTCAAA